CAGATACACATGCAGTGCAAACCCCAGGCACCGCTGGAACTTTTCAATAATAAAATGATGGTAAATAAACACAATGTATTTACTACAAAAATCTTTGTTTCTCTACTCTCTTTCTCCTATTATTAGTAATAACTTTTGGTAAATGTGGTTGAAATGCAGCCTCCGCAACACACTTTCACCGCATGAATGCCGCCAGGGCTCGAATTAACGACGGCACCGACGCGCAATTGCCCGTCGGTGCCCCTATCAATCGCCGTACTGCCCCTGAAAATCCAACCCGACCGACGGCAGTCACCTCGCCTTGCCCTTTTGTGTTAATTGCCGTCGGTGCCTTTAATCTACTGCCCTAGTTTTGTTTTTTAGTCGAATCAACATAACACATGAGTGTGCGTGCTGTAGTTGCAATGCATGAGATATAAAACCGATAGTCGCAGAAGGGAATAATAACGGCATCGGATAATTATTTTGCTCGCTGATAGCGAGCCATGTAAATTTCTTCGTTACTGTACTTTCTATTAGCAGAGGTGGGTACAGGGTGGTCAGTGTTACGGTGTAAGCCTTACATGGCGGGCATATTGTTTTGTACATTAAAAGCAAGACGATGTTGATGTACTAATTTGTTATGAGTTTTCCTTTATTTTACAAAAGTGCCTTGGTGCCCTTCTCAAATTTGAGAGTTGCCTTGGTGCCTTTCTATTTTAGCAGAAAATTCAAGCGCGATTTCTCACATGCCCTAAAAAAATTGCCTCCCCTTCTCGTCGCTTAATTTGAGCCCTGAATGCCGCTGTCACAAACAACAAAATTGTAGATAAGAACAGGTGGGAAAGCGTGAGCGGCAAATTTGCTTAAACACACAACCTTCATTTGGTATCTTTGCCGTAGCTAAATTTTCACTTGTTCAAATCGATAATTTTGCCATTTTGTAATGCAAGATCAGATAAGAGACATCAAGTAAATTCTCTGAAGAAAAACCCCCACTCCGTCGAAATGTAAATGGGAGCATACATGTATGCAAGTAAGTGCATTCTGGTTCAAGCCGTCCTCCCACTTCCGAGCTCTATCTCGAGGCCTGCCAAGCCAAGCCTAGCATAATTCGCGGATGGGAATGATGTCATACACGTTCTATGTTCATGGCCAAACAATCGATTAGTGCAGTTAGGGGGTTTCGCATTATAAACAGGCCACTTCCTCCATTTACATTTCAGTGCGAGTGGCAGTTTTCTGCAGGAATTCACCAGATCTCTCGCGAAGTAAAGTGTGCATGTCCAGTACAAAATTAGCAAAATTATTTTAATTCGAACAAATGAACATTTTAGCTACGCATAAATACCAAAATGGAGGCTGTTGGTTGTGTATTTTTTGCTTGATGCGTTGTGAAACAAAGTGAGCATTGTGCGAATTTTCTGTGCTCACGCTTACCCACCTGCCTCTATATTTTTGTTGTGTTTATGCACAGGAGGCGGCTGTACGGTGTACTGCAGAAAAGCATTTCAATGGCATTTACAGAAAGTTATTACTAATAATAGCACTCTGAACGACAGTAGAGAAACATTAAGACTTTGGTAGCTAAATACATTATGTGTTTATTTACCATCATTTTATTATTAAAACATTCGAACGCGAAGTGCCTGTGATTTTCTGCTGCCATTTCTCACGAATATCAGACTTTGTCGCCGATATAATTTTCAATACACAGAACCAAGGATCCCTTGTATAGAATCAGATGCGCTTTTGTTTGAACTTAGCGTGCAATTGGTTTGAAGACGCCATTTTGTGATATCAGACTTTGTCGCGATAATAGTTTTCACTACACAGAATCAAGAGCCCTGGTACAGAATCAGATGCCCCTTTGTTTGAATTAAGTGCAATTGTTTCGAAGGCGGTCATTTGTAAATTGTCGCTATAATGATAATCAAATATTCGGCGGTGTTACGTGTCCAATTGCAACTTTCTATGCCTATAACACTTTTAACAGCAGAAATCTTAAGGTTTTTCAAGTGGTGTAATAAGGCTGAGAGGGTCTATGTCCCCGGGGTACTGCCGGAACGTACCCTGGGTCCGGCCCGGTAATACCGGAACGTACCCTGGTACTATCTAATATGCCGAACCGTACCTCGCCTACTCCACTAACGAGTCTAGGGAGCTCGCCTACGCCTACTCCCTAACCCGAACCCTAATCCTAACCCTAACCATATCAAATAGTGACCAGGCACGTTCCGGCAGTACCCTGGGGGACATAGACCCTATGAGCTGTAATAAGTGACTTATCACTCGTGACTAAGTATCAATATAGGCGACTATATTTTGCTACATTTTTTTCTAGATTGTGCATTTATATATACAATGATGATGAAATAATAGCTTTAACCAATATCGATTTTTTTCGACCTGTAGTTCCCTTCCAAGTTTAGCTTCTTTGTTTCTCTGTCATTCCGAATTAAAATTGCAAATTTTGACCTTTTTCTACTGACAGTACTGCGATCCGCAGTGTTGATGTCTATTTGACTAACCTTTCTCTTTCCATCTTCGATACAGTACCTTGGACGTTGAAGACTATTATTAACGAGATTACGAGGTTACCAGTAATGACAGTATTACTATTAGTACTAGTAGGGGGCCTAGTATTAGTAGTAATAATAATATCTAATCTGTAAACAACTTATGTCGCATGAATGCGAATCAACATGACATAACAACAACGAATAAGACGAGACAACAACAAACGTAGGAAATAATATCACCACAATTCTATGGCACTGTACTGCCATTAAATACTATAAACCGATTATATACCTGTGTCTCCGATGATAATATACTTGAAAAGGTAAGCATATGACATTTTTAAGGAGAATTATTTCCTTTATCTTCAGAACAGCTATGATGTACACTTGTTCTGTTCATTGGAAACGTCATTCGCGCAGTGGCGACCTCGTTTGAGCGGAACCAAAAAGTATGTCAATAAGTCAATTGTTGGAATCTATTATTTGATATCAATAACTTATTGAATAAGGGCATCTGTTACTTCACACATTCGTAGATATAATATACGCAGAGCAATCTATATATTGAATTGACCTGCAGTCCAGGATCACGCACAATTACTTTGAAGTATGTGTAACATGCATGATGCATATTCAAGGTAAATAAATCTATTCTACCCTCTCTCTCTCTCTCTCTCTCTCTCCCTCTTCTTCTCTCTTCTAAGATAAAAAATAAAGACACCAAGGGGCAAGAGCGCATAAACTATTAATGTGCACTGGTATTAATCTATTATGCAGTTATCACAATAGATATATTACTTTTCAAGCACAAAATCAACATTTACTAAATTCAAGTACTTTTCAAGGACTACCCTCAAATTCAAGGACTTTTCAAAGACTGTGCGAACCATGTATAACAAATCGTCTATACCCACACGTACTTGTTACCAGATACCTAATTTAATTGTTATAATTAATCATACATCAACGCTACAAAATTTTAAGGGCGCCATTGACACCCGCGACCGTGCTGCCATCCTGAAAAAGTTGTGCATTTCCCAATATATTTTGCACGTTACAGACCAAGGGCTAATCACAAAGGTGCAATTATATTTATACCTAAATGCTATTTAACCGAACGATGTTCATTTTAGGACAAATTTATCCATAATATAACTGAAACTATGTGTCGTTTATAAGATATTACAATCCTTTTGCTTTTAAATTAATAAATAAGAAACACCCTCGATCTGTAGCCCTTGGCTGAAAAGTTGTTTTGTGCAACTTTTCAGATCGTGCGCTTTGAGTAGTGCCACCGTCGTTGTAATCAAACTGTAGTCGTTAGTTTTAAAACATTAAAAAAAAATTCCAATGGTGATTGAACCATGAAACTTTTTATGTAGCGTAATTTTAACCTAAATGAACTGAAAATAACCCTAGAACCTAGAGTAAAGGTCCCTTTAACCTTAGATGTTATCAGATTAATACAACCTTTATCAACATGATAATCAACAACGGTAATGGAATGCCTGATTGACAGCTTAGGATATTTGGGATGTAATGCACACCTTGTAATGTCATAGACAAGTAAAGCACCAGCAGCACCTCTGTAGTATGACCTGGTAATAGACCTGAATGACTCTTGTCCAGCCTGAAATATACAAGTGCAATTAGTTAAAAAGTAACCAGTGCCAGAAAAAAGATACTGAATCAAAATCATAATAAAAGTCCATGAAAAATACTTATTTTTCAATATAAAACCAACTTGCAAATTAATAATACATGCTTTGTAATGATACACGAGTTTTCATGTATCTAACTTATACAGGTGTTTTATATTACATGCATAACCTTTTCAATTATTTCACCAGTGGCCAAAAATGCCTCACTTCAAACTGTAATAATGTACATGTAAATCAATTCAAAGCCATTAATCGAGCGTTCTTGTAATGCAGTGACGCATGTAACTTTATTCCAGTTTCGGCTGGTTCCGGTTCCGGCCGGAACATAAAAAGTTGGATCCTGTGCACCCCTAACAATGAGGGACTACTAATTCACATCAGAACTGTGACAGTTTTAAACATCTTTGTTTTGATGCCATCACAACAATGAATTGCACAGAACTCCATAAATTTTGACAGACACTGAGACATAGCAAAACAACTGCCATTAACCTAGAAGTTATTTGTATTTCATGTTCCAACCCTGTAAGTGTAATGTTGCAAACAGCTGGTGTATAAAAAACACTTGAAAACATCACGTGTGACAGACAATGTGATCGATAAAAACATTTTGAATAGCCAAAAACCGTTTTGAACCAGACAATGTCCATAATCGATCACTTAAAGATGCCTTCCCACACACATTTTTGTGACAAACCACTGTAAAAACGTAAGTAAATACCTCAGTGCACTTTACCTGAACGTTAGCTTTGAAAATAAAACTGTAAAAATATGTATCAAGCCTATATTTGCTCAACGAAAAAACAATTCGAAAAACGCCTCTCGCCGCGGTTCTTCATCATGGCGGCAAGAGTCAACGCAGGTCACGTAACCAGCACAGCCATAGATATCATATAACACATGTGTTATCTGAATTCTTGTGTAAAGTGTGGTTTGCAGATGTTACAAATAGTAGTTGGGTGATTGGAAACGTCGCGACGGTGGTTGCATAATGGGTTAGTCCGCGGCAGCGCGTTTGATGTAGTATGGATGATGGAGATGAGAAACGGTTGAGAGTCAGTTGTTGTGCATGTGGGCAGCGGGTGTGGTTGTGCGCGCGCGCGACTGATTTCTTTGTTAGCTAGAAATGTATAAATGGAAGTTTCTTAGTTGAAGGGAGGAGAACGAGTGTGCGGAGTCACGCGGATGCGTGCCTCTGTGCGCACGCATGTGGGTTGAGAAACAATAATACTATTTGCAAAACACAACTGCTTGGACTTTGGAGTTTTCCTTTATCTCTACAACAAATCCACTTTGAAACGGGTAACGTCAGATCTTCCTCGTTACATTTTTGGCGCCGTCGACAGTCGAATCGGGTTTACCACGTTTACCATTCTCCCTATAACAATCTAGCCGCACAAGATGCGCGACGCTCTGTCTACATAGACTACCACTAAAACAACCCCTAGTCTAGCTCCGCTGACTAATTCATGCAACATCTGTAAATCATATGTTACACTTGCATGAATACATGTATTTACGCATGATGAACCTGGGAAACCTCCTGCGCACAGAGACATGCACATAAACTCTCATGTTGGTGCTGATGACATCATTTTTCCAGGATGGGGCTGCTTTTAAATTCACAGCTAAAGATAGGGAAATAATACCCATTGACAACAGTCAATTGAGTAAATACGTACTGTATCCCATATCTGAAGTTTTATCTGTTTTCCATCAATAGTGATCATTCGAGCTCCAAATTCCACACCTGGAAGAGAGAATTTCAAGACAATTTCAACAGGTGAATTAATGAGATAGTGAAATTGTTTTTGTTTTTAATGGCAGCTCTTGCTGCTATTGTCGATACCGCTCCTGCTGCTATAGTTTCAGGGTTGATTTTTCTTAAATTGAGTGGAACGTACGTAACTGTCCGTACTTCATTTGACGTGCCACTTGGGTTAAGCATGGGTGGCTACATTTAGAATTAACCAATCAGGGAAAACTGAACCAGGAGACCAAATCAGCTACCTCGTGGGCAGAGGCAATAGGTCAGTAATGTTGAGGTGGGAGGACAGGTAGTATATATATATATATATAATTTTTTTTAAATCTTCAAAATTAGCAAAACAATAAAGTACAATCTTAAAACATGCATAGATATTCAAAGTACAGTTAGACCTCGATTATCCAAATGAGACGGGCGGGGAGCATTATGTTCGAATGGATTACTAATCTGAATTACGTCAGCAACTGTACCGACTGTTTCCAGTCTGACTGTTACGTTCTAGGCAACGTTACGTCAAACGTGAGCCGCCTATCTAGCTTGTGAACAATCAAATATCGTTTCTTGAATTATGAATAACACGAATGGATTGAAATATTTAATTATATTATCTCAAAATAACCCTTAATATAAAAAATAAATAAAATATTATATTATAAAAATACACGCACGCCGCCTATCTAACCTTCAGATTCTACAGTCCTAAACAAAGGAAAAGTGAACAATCAACTATCTTTGCTTGAATTATGAATATCACGAATGGATTTAAATATTTAATTTAATTATCTCAAAATAAACCTTCATTTCGGTGCAAAATTAAAATTAGCTTGAATTCTTCATAACCTCTGAATAGTGGGTGACCCAATGGGTCACAGGTGGTCTAGTGGCTTATAAATATTCACGGGACCTTGAGATCTTGTTCGGATAATTGATGTTTGGATAGCAGAGGTTTTTGACTGTACCTATGTAAACACAAAGGGTTCTTCAAATCATATCAGATAATTTAGATTTAAGTAATCTGAACTACAATTCTTACCAATTGTCAGGTCATGTACTGGTTGAAAACGCTTGTCAGTGAATTGTAATAGCAGACATGACTTTCCCACACCTGCAAAAAGATGAACATAAATTATCACAACTCACAAGCCATATCTTGTTAAATAACCCTATAAATCTCTGCCGGGAGGTAGAGACTGCCTATAACTGCAGGGTAAGAAATGAAAGTGGCTTTGGTGTCAAATACTCCCAGATTTACTGCTAGGTCTGGTGTAATGTGTGCACGAATCCAAGTGGATTGCATGCTATTCCCTGAAAATTCTCTTAGACCAGTTCATTTGAGAGTGTGGCCTCACAAAATTACCATACCTTTTCAGCAAATATTACAAGAAAATATGGCAGACCAGGATATCCGCCAGAAATTATTTTTTGGGCAAGGACCAAAAAAAGTCTCTCGAAAATCGTTGTACTACTAAAGAGATATGTTAACTTGTTTTTTCTAATGCAACTGCCATTGACATTGACAATATCAACAGCAACTGTTGCGAGAAGCTTCTCTGATATGAAGCGGATTACGACCCACCTGAAGAACCGAATCTTACTCAACTCCCTGGACAACATGATGCAAATTTCCATCACAGGAGGGCCAATCGGTTCGATTAATTTTGACAAGGTTGCAGATAAATGGTTCAGTGGCAAACTGAACCACCCCCTTATATTAAGTGGATACCAACTAGTGGCAGTGCATTAAACCAGTGACTATCATATTTGAACCAGTGACTTACTTGTTGAATTAATGTGAAATTGTGCGAATAAATGTTCACGTTTCTTTTAAAACATACCATATATTATCAGTTTCACTTCAAATATCGCTTACATACATAAGCAAGTAATTTTTTTACTCATAATTTTGAGTATAGATCCATACCCTTGAACTGTTTTTGAGTATGGAATTTTACCCTTTTACCCTCCTGGCAGAAACCTGCAGATACACATGCAGTGCAAACCCCAGGCACCTGGAACTTTTCAATAATAAAATGATGGTAAATAAACACAATGTATTTACTACAAAAATCTTTGTTTCTCTACTCTCTTTCTCCTATTATTACAGGGAACAATTTCCAGCCAAAAATTTGCAAAGCAAATGTGCTATACAAAATAAATTTTGCATAGCAATTGG